ACACCCGGACAGATTGGGGTAGGGAGTTCCATAGGATGGGAGAAGCTCCAGAGAAGTTCTGGAGGCGAGCATGGGAGGAGGTGACACAGGAACTAGAGAGCAGAAGGTCTTGGGAGGATCGAAGAGAGCGGTTTGGTTGATATTTTGAGACCAGGTTGGTGATGTAGCTGGGGGCAGAGTTGTGGATGGCTAGTAATAAAGTCATGTGATAAAGACATTTTTGTCTGGCTAGGTTCACAGTGCAGATGGCTTTTCAAAGTGCCACAAAGCAGCCATGGTCAGGCGATCCTGCCACCTCTTTTTTTTTTTTTTGCCAAGCGCCAATTTGCAATGGGGCTAATGCACCTGAACTGTAAGCCAAGCATTTGGCTTGCAGTTGCAGGCTCGGCCTCACTAGATTGAACGGTTGAGTTTTGGCAGGCGGTGCCCCAGTCAACTTAACATGCCATGTTAAATGTGCTGTGGCTGTGGCATTTGAACAGTCTCTGGCTGTATAACCCATGTGAAAGAGGCTTTTATTTTTATGCGAGTTCCTGGAAATAACTCCTTCCATTTTTTCTCACCTATGTCACGTAGCCTCCCTAGCGGTCTGATTATATCCATGTTTCTGTGCTCAAAGCGGTACATTTTTTTTTTGCATGGAAATATGTAGTTTTTTTTATTGTAGGCCTGTAATTTTTAGGAATAACTCACTGAAATCTGTCCGAACAAGAGTCTAGTAAACATTCCAGGTATGTTAAAATTTGAAACACGAAATCATAAATTATAATTTAATAAATAATCATAAAAAATAATAATATAATCAAACCTAAACACTGAAATTTGAAATATAGCGCCAAGTTAGCACATCACTGAGCAAAGTCACAAAATCTTTTTCAGTGTCTGATGATGAATTTCCCCACAAATCATTATCACTCAATTCTGCAAGTAGTTCTAATTTACTATCGATGTTCTCTAGCTGGTCTAAAACCGATTTTGACCTAAAGGGACGCTTTTTGGACGCAATGGACTTTTCTCAGTTTCCAGGCAGAAAGAACAGTAAAAATGCAGGCAGGGCACAGGACAAAGCACTAGGGACAAAATGTATGTGAAATGCTTTGATACAGTAATGTTATACTATGATTTTAGTGAATTTAGTGAATGTTACTTTTAAAATGTTCAAATTTCCCGCCAGTTCCATCCCCCGTACGTCCCAACGTCGCAGGGAACGGAACCCAGAAGACAGATGCCGGCATCGGCCGGAGGACATTGCAGGGACACTGCAGGGGGGACATCGCGGGAGCGCAGGACAAGGTAAGTGCAGAAGAGATCCCGGAGCAACGCTGCAGTGAATTCCCGAGTGTAGCTCGGGGCTACCGCTTGTGGTGCTGAAACTTTACCCCAAGCTACACTCGCGCATACCGCCAGGGAGGTTAAAGTGTAAACCCACAACAGTAAAATCAGTCTGTATATGCAGTAAAGCATGCTTGTTATACTCACTGTGGAACCTAAGGGGTTATCCTCTACATTGTGTAAAAGGGATGTTTGATCCTGTCTTCTCTGATTCCCCCCTTCTTTTAATGTTCCCAATCCATCTGCTATTAGTACTGAGCTCTAGGACTCACTCTGCACATGCTCTGATTTTTTTTTTCTTTTGCAGGGTGCATGTGATCAGCACAGGGCCAATCAGCACTGCCCAGGGGTTATGCAGCCTCATAGGATAGTCAGAGGAGAATGAAAACTCCTCCTACAAGCTTTAATCAGTGCTCAGCCGGACACTGATAGAAGTCACAAGACTGCTATATACTACTATATACCACGGATGAGGAAAGGTATTTAGCAGTTTATATTTACTAAAATAATTTAATTGCATTCCCATGTTATGTGTACTGTGGGAGACTGGATATAGTGAATGCAGGGTCCTGGGTTTAGTAACACTTTAATTTAAAAAACCACTATTACAGAGTTTTCACTGTTTTTTTTAATGTATTTCAACAGCATTATGTGTTGTTGATGCACCTCCACATCGCATGCATGTTAACAAGTTTTTCTTCATGCTTGTATCTTGTTCTATTACAATCTTCCCTGTTGCAGACACAAATCCCCCTGTTACCAGGCCCTATATCTGTCCTCATTTATCTTGCCATTTGAGCTTCCTTCTACTTTTCACTGCAGAATCATTTTTTGCATCGTGTTTAGCATGACATCCGTGCTAGGCATAGCAAATCACCAAAGAGAAAGCGCACTGCTGATTTCCATTACACGAAATTAAGCTACTTTCTCTGGGGATGAAGCAAAGCATAGGAGCTGCTTTTATTTCCCTTTTAAACAGCACATTTAATTATTTGTATCCATTTCATTTAAAATTGTTCCATTAGTAGGCATCATATACAATAAAAGTGAGCAGTACTGGCGACATGTAGTACAGGTAAATACATTACTGAATTAGAGAAAAAAAACTTTAGGGACTCCTGCAAAATGAGACATTTTTTTTTTTTGCTGAAACACACACACAAATATGTCTTCATATGCACAAGTTACAATTTACATTATTCATATTGTATATTACATATTAGACGCCTTTCACAATGGCGGACTAATGAGGTCCGCCTATCCATTTTTCAGGTGGACCCAATCAGACCATTCATTGCCCTCTTTGGAACAGCAGATGTAAACGGATATGCATCCATTTATACTCGGCTGAATTTGTTTAGATCTCCTAAAAACAGACGAATGGTGGTTCCATTGGAATACAACGGAATTGTTGGGATACAAAAAAAAAATCTACAGGTAACCTCAGGAGAAATACGAACTGCCCTGGAATAAGATAGTGATTAAGGAGGAGGACAATACTATAAGAGAAATGAGCTGCATGGTTGATTTGCCAGAAAAAAATCCTTTACTGTGCCAAAACCACGGGTTACAATATGCCTGACAACACCTTGACATGCCTCACTTGGATTTTTTTTTGTGGCACTGGTGCAGTAATGGTTGCCTTCAGCAACTCGACCATGCAGCTCATTTTTGTTTAAGTATCAACAGACACTAATTGCACATTAAAAAGTCACAAAGGTAGGAGATTAAGCTTTAATTTCCATTTTAACCTGTGTGTATTACTTTGTGTCTATAGCAAGGCCAAACAATCCAAGGTATGTAAACTTTTGAACAGGGCTATTTGGGTGAATCATTATGATTTAAAAAGGAGCCAAAACAACTATATGATAATAAATGGCTTCATATGACCACTATCCATAAAAAAAAGTTTTTTTGCATAATCAGTCATATTTTCAATTAATATGCCAAAATGTCATGATTTCTGACAGGGTATGCAAATGTTTGCGCACAACTGTAAACGGACAGGCGGTCCGTTTACATCCAACCACCCATAGCGGAAAGCAGGTTGTGTCCATGTCTACACTGCATAAGCTGAGCAGGCGCATCTGCTGGTGGAGTCCACTCGTGTGAAAGAGGCCTGAAAAGAAAGAGATTTTGCTTACCTTGGTAAACGTGTATTCATTGATTAGACTCAGAATCAATGTGCAATAATAAATCCAAGAAAATGTGCAATGCTTTCCGATAAGATACAATTCTGTTGTTACAATTAGAGATGAGCGAATTATTCAAAAATTCGATTCGGCGAATTTGCGGGAGAAATTCGATTCGATGCGAATTTATTCGCTGCGAATTTAACTAATTAAAAGGGTTTCTAGGCTTCAGAGAGCCTTTATATTAGTGCAGAACACTGTACCTTTAATTTAAATGCCCTTGGAGTCTGCTGGGGAAGAGAAATAATACTGTCAGTCAGTATGACATGCAGATGAGTGCCGTCGATCTTAGAATCACCGCACACTTCACTCATTTGGGCAGTCACGGGGCACGACGAAGAAGAAGAAGAATGAAAAGAAGAATAAGAAGAATGAAAAGAAGAATGAGAAGAATGAAAAGAAGAAGACGAATGAAAAGAAGAAGAAGAAGAAGAATGAAAAGAAGAATGAAAAGAAGAATGAAAAGAATGAAAAAAGAAGAAGAATGAAAAAGAAGAATGAAAAGAAGAAAAGAAAGAATGAAAAGAAGAATGAAAAGAAGAATGAGAAGAATGAAAAGAAGAATGAAAAGAAGAAGAAGAAGAATGAAAAGAAGAATGAGAAGAAGAATGAAAAAGAAGAATGAGAAGAAGAATGAAAAGAAGAATGAGAAGAAGAAGAATGAGAAGAATGAAAAGAAGAATGAGAAGAATGAAAAGAAGAATGAAAAAGAAGAAGAAGAAAAATGAAAAGAAGAAGAAGAATGAAAAGAAGAATGAAAAAAGAAAGAAGAAGAAGAATGAAAGAAGAAGAAGAAGAAGAAGAATGAAGAAAGAAGAATGAAAAGAAAAGAAGAAGAATGAAAAGAAGAAGAAGAAGAATGAAAAAGAAGAATGAAAAGAAGAATGAACTATATTACTATATCAGTCTCTAATGGATGCTGGGAGAGTTACTAGGGGTTCCCACCATCCCTGTGCTGAGGTTCCAGGTCTGCACACCTGCTGCGCCCATTATGAGAAGTTCCCACCATCCCTGTGCTGAGTTCCTGGGTCTGTACACCTGCTCTGCCCATTAGGAGGAGTTCCCACCATCCCTGTGCTAAATTCCTGGGTCTGTACACCTGCTGTTCCCATTATGAGGGGTTTCTACCATCCCTGTGCTGAGGTCCCAGGTCTGCACACCTGCTGCGCCCATTACTAGGGGTTCCCACCATCCCTGTGCTGAGGTTCTGGGTATGCACACCTGCTGTGCCCATTATGAGGGGTTCCCACCATCCCTGTGCTGAGGTTCCAGGTCTGCACACCTGCTGCGCCCATTATGAGAAGTTCCCACCATCCCTGTGCTGAGTTCCTGGGTCTGTACACCTGCTCTGCCCATTAGGAGGAGTTCCCACCATCCCTGTGCTAAATTCCTGGGTCTGTACACCTGCTGTTCCCATTATGAGGGGTTTCTACCATCCTGTGCTGAGGTCCCAGGTCTGCACACCTGCTGCGCCCATTACTAGGGGTTCCCACCATCCCTGTGCTGAGGTTCTGGGTATGCACACCTGCTGTGCCCATTATGAGGGGTTCCTACCATCCATGTGCTGAGATTCCGGGTCTGCCCACCTGCTTTACCCATTATTAGGAGTTCCCACTGTCCCTGTGTTGAATTCCTGGGTCTGTATGTACACCTGCTGTGTCCATTGTGAGGGATTCCCACCATTCCTGCACTGAGTACCTGAGTCTGTACACCTGCCAAAAGAAAGTTTTCAGGATTTTGAAGGAGCAAAATACAGTAATACTGGAACAAAAATGAGCTGCGTGGTGGAGTTGCCAGAAGAAGAAGAAGAAAAGAAGAAGAAGAAGAATGAAAAGAAGAATGAAAAGAAGAAGAAGAAGAATGAAAAGAAGCAGAAGAATGAAAAAGAAGAATGAAAAGAAGAAGAAGAAGAATGAGAAGAATGAAAAGAAGAAGAAGAAGAATGAAAAGAAGAAGAAGAAGAAGAAGAATGAAAAGAAGAATGAGAAGAATGAAAAAGAAGAAGAAGAAGAATGAAAAGAAGAATGAAACGAAGAATGAAACGAAGAATGAAACGAAGAAGAAGAATGAGAAGAAGAATGAGAAGAAGAATGAAAAGAAGAATGAGAAGAAGAATGAGAAGAAGAAGAGAAGAAGAATGAGAAGAATGAAAAGAAGAATGAAAAGAAGAAGAAGAAGAATGAAAAGAAGAAGAAGAAAGAAGAAGAAGAAGAAGAAGAAGAATGAAAAAAGAAGAAGAAGAAGAAAAGAAGAATGAGAAGAATGAAAAGAAGAAGAAGAATGAAAAGAAGATGAAAAGAAAGAAGAAGAAGAATGAAAAGAAGAATGAGAAGAATGAAAAGAAGAAGAAGAAGAATGAAAAAGAAGAAGAATGAAAAGAAGAAGAAGAAGAATGAAAAGAAGAATGAAAAGAAGAATGAGAAGAATGAAAAGAAGAAGAAGAAGAATGAAAAGAAGAATGAAAAGAAGAAGAATGAAAAGAAGAAGAAGAAGAATGAAAAGAAGAAGAAGAATGAAAAGAAGATGAGAAGAATGAAAAGAAAGAAGAAGAATGAAAAGAAGAAGAAGAAAAAGAAGAAGAAGAAGAAAAGAAGAAGAATGAAAAGAAGAATGAAAAGAAGAAGAAGAATGAAAAGAAGAATGAGAAGAAGAATGAAAGAAGAAAAGAAGAAGAGGAAGAAGAAGAAGAAAGGAGAAGAAGAATGAGAAGAAGATGAAAAGAAAAGAAGAAGAAAGAATGAAGAAGAAGAAGAAGAAGAATGAAAAGAAGAATGAAAAGAAGAGAAGAAGAAATGAAAAGAAGAAGAAGAATGAAAAGAAGAATGAAAAAGAAGAAGAAGAAGAATGAAAAGAAGAATGAAAAGAAGAATGAAGAGAATGAAAAGAAGAAGAAGAAGAATGAAAAGAAGAAGAAAAGAAGAAGAAGAAGAAGAAGAAAGAAGAAGAATGAAGAAGAATGAAAAGAAGAATGAAAAGAGAAGAATGAAAAGAAGAAGAAGAAGAATGAAAAGCAGAAGAAAAGAAGAAGAAGAAGAATGAAAAGAAGAAGAATGAAAAGAAGAATGAAAAAAGAAGAAGAAGAATGAAAAGAAGAATGAAAAGAAGAATGAGAAGAATGAAAAGAAGAATGAAAAGAAGAATGAGAAGAATGAAAAAGAGAGAATGAAAAGAAGAATGAGAAGAATGAAAAGAAGAATGAAAAGAAGAAGAAGAGGAATGAAAAGAAGAATGAGAAGAATGAAAAGAAGAATGAGAAGAATGAAAAGAAGAATGAAAAGAAGAGGTATTCCAGTACAGCAAAAAGTGTATCTGCAGAGAGCTCCGCTATTTCTGACAGTTCTCTGACAGTTCCTTCACATTTACAGCGGTTGAAACATTGTATCTGTTTCCGAATAAAAACATCTGTATCCTAAATGGAAACAAATAGATACAATGTTTCAACCGCTGTAAAATGAAGGAACTGTCAGAGAACTGTCAGAAATAGCGGAGCTCTCTGCAGTGACACTTTTTGCCGGCTGATCGGGAAAAAATCCGATTCGCGCACCCGAAGTTGGCTAATATTCGGATTCGGCACGAATCGAATTTTTCCTGAAATTCGAAACGAATTCCACTTCGCCTGGTTCGATTCGCTCATCTCTAGTTACAATCATTCTCTGGTAACATACAGCAACGACACTGGGGGTTCTTTAGTAAATGAGTAGAGTCTGTTCACTTAGCAAAGTGAATGCATCTTTATAAAGCAGTGAATCAAACATTCACTGATTCAGTCACTTTCATTTAAAATCTATTCACCTGCAGTGAATGTTTGGTCAGATTCACTCTGTTAAAAATATGCTACTAGGTGTATGTTGGCATTGCAAAGTTAATGTCAGTGATTAACATTGAGTTGTGGTCACTATGAATACCAAATTGGGGTTGATGTACTAAAACTGGACAGTGCAAAATCTGGTGCAGCTTTTCATGATAGCCAATGAGCTTCTAACTTCAACTTGTTCAATTAAGCTTTAAAAAAAAAACTGGAAGCTGATTGGTTTCTTTGCACAGCTGCACCAGATTTTGCACTCTCCAGTTTTAGTAAATCAACCCCATTATGTACTAGAATAACACATTGTCTTTTTAAAATCTATGATAGGAAGCAGCTTTTTTTTTGGAGTTGTTTGCTAAATCTCACCCAGCAAAATGGCTAAAATAAGCCTTGTACACAATGCTATGTATGTATATAAAAATTTGCAGAACTATTCATAAAAATGCATGTACATTAGTTCTGTGCAAATGAACAAAATTGGTTGTTACTTGGCTATTTTCTCCCAGTTCAAATGTCCTTTATTCATACATAATAGAGTGACTCAGGAAAATACCACATCATATCCACTAGATGGAGCTGATGCTCATAGGAATAATACTGTATTTTCTGAATTTACACTCTGGAGAGAAAATAGCCTAATAACATTTGATTCTAACGCCCGTTCACTTAGAAAAATATATATGCAGTTTCACAGGATCAATTGCTCTGCAATTTTTGTTATAAATACACCCCAATACGTATGTGTTGGGCAATCATGTGGTTGTCTATTCAAAGGTACATATTCAGGTTCTTACAATATCAAAATGATTGGCAATTAATAATAAATATAGGCATCTAGGTTAAATTAAATGTGCAGTATGTATTTAATATGTTGTTTTTATGAAGATCGTGTCCTTGTGAAGTATGTGATGGCTTTTATTGTGTGGACCCTCATCTGAGGATGATTTTCATTGTAAAATACTAAATACATTTTTTGTGATTCTTTTCTGATATCTTCTTTGCACATTTACCAGTCATTGGTAATTATTAGTATTGGATTGTTGAAATGTATTAAAACCAATTCTGTGTAAAAAAAAAAAAAAAAAAAAAAAGAAAAGGAAAAAACAAATCATCTAGCAATGTTAGATGGTAGAAAAACCATTTTTTCACCTTTTTTTATTTTTTATTGTAACTTTAAGAAAGACAATAAAATGGTAAAAAGTGAACAGCTTTTGAACTATGCCTATAAAGTGCTTTGTAAGGGTCCTGTGGAGAGAGAGAGAGCTGCTTGCTTCGGATGTGGATCATTTGCTGTCAATGGCTAAGTAAAGGGAGCAGGCAGGAGCTATTGCTAAGACTGAAAAAATTTTCCCCTAAAAATTTAAAACAAAATAAATCTATGGGCTTTTTTTTTTTTTAAACTGCAAAAACTCTTATGACAGGGATACTATTTGGGAAAATACTACCAAAAGTGTTATGTGTTTGGTGGTTGTTTACAAGGGCACCAAAAAAATTGCACTTAAACCAGTAAGCCTAAAAAAAATGGCCCATAAGCAGTTGGCAAGGTACCTTAGGGGCGTAGTTTGCACACAAAACGTGCGCATTACCACAATGCAAGGTAATGCACCTGCTTAATGTGCTTTACGTTGCGGAGCTATTCATTGAAAATTGCCCCTTTGGGGGCATTTACTAAAACTGGTGCACACAGAATCTGGTGCAGATGTGCATAGTGACCAATCAGCTTCTAGGTTTTATTGTCAAAGCCTAATTGAGCAAGCTGGAGTTAGAAACTGATTGTTTACTATGTACAGTGCACCAGTTTTAGTAAACTTCCCCCATTGCATAGTAGATCCAGTGCATGCCATACCATGCGGTAAAGTATGTACATTAATGTACCTCAATGGAACAATTAATTGTGAATGGGCCCTGAATATTTTATTGATTGCTCATATTTGTCATATTATGGCCCAGTTGCCTATTAGACTGGCCAACAGCCTATTAGACTGGAGTAAATAATAAATAATACTAGCAGACTGTCATCACACAAGAGCATTCCAGAGTGGAAAAGTTCATTTATTTCTTTGTTGTCCTCTGCTGACTGATCACAGATTAAACAGTTTGTAGGGAGTTTGCAGAGCGTACATCAAACAGTACATGGGCATGATAAAAAAAGAGACTCCTGGGTCAATTAATTAAATAATCCCTATATACTGTATATATATTTATTATTATACAGGATTTTATATAGCGCCAACAGTTTTGCGCAGCGTTTTACAATATAAGGGAGACAGTACAATTGCAATATATTCCCATGTACGTTCGTTACATGTCCAGTATAGGTATCTGGTAATTATGTGTATCTACTGACAATATCTAGACCTCAAACTTTCTAAGGATCTTTAAATACTAAAACATTTTCTAATTTGTTTTTACCTTTTCTTTGTTGCCACCCAGGATGCACCTGTTGCGTTCACCGACTGAAAAGCCAAATTGCCTGGGCTGTTTTCTGTTTTCATTCCATTGTAAAAATATCGATTGCGCTTCCAGGAATCACTCGAGCAATAAGAGACATCTCTGCAGGTGGTTTTTGTCCCTGGAGCATTTGTACAGTCATGTAATTGTCTGCTTACATTTATGAAGATGGTTTGAGACAGAGCCAGTTATTATAACCCCTATCACCTTGTCAAATACTATGTGAGCAAAAGGTGACAATTAGTTCTTGTTTAGTGATGAGGTTTTTTTTATTGAGGCAGGAAAAAAAAAAAAAAGCAATGCAAGACATTTATCAGAGTCCCAAATCTTTTATGTAATTTTTCCACTTTTAATCAGCTTTACATACTGTAGCAAAAATTATCAAACAAATCAAGGGAATCTGATGTCAACCAATTTGGTTGAAGGCTTATTGGAAGTGATTGAAATTTCTTTCTAATAAATTTGCTTACTAGGCTTATGCCAGCATAAGGCAGTCCATAGATAAGTCATTTTTTTTTTTGGCTGAACAAAAGAAATTAACTTGATTCCCCCATCCACAAACTTAATATGAAAGAGAGAATCCTCCCCACTGAGCTATTGTTATCTGAATGTGGGGAGCATTTCCCATCGTCACACTTATCAGTGCTGCAGAGTGGCTGTACAGAAGTTGATCTGTAGTTTGACTTTTGTACAACCAACCTTCTTATACATGGATTGAAATCCAGCTGGACCTTGTAAAACTGGTGCCAGCTTAAGTCAAGTAGCCCATTATTAAAGGGTTAGTTCACCATCCCTACACTTTTCACACAACCCCCCCCCCCCCATGCCTTTCAGGATCCCCAGCATAGTATACCACTGCAACTGAAGCACCACTGTTACCATTGCTCAGTCAGTAAATAGATGATCATGTTCCATTCCATATGTGCAGGCCATGCATGGCAAAAAAATGATGCCTCAATGTGCAGTCTCTCTCTATGCTACCTAAATGGCAAAATGTGATGGACATTACATGTTCATCCTGCTTCGGCTTGTTCGAACTGTCTGCATGCACAGTATGTTCTCACTTGTTCTAGCATCAGCAGCTCAGCCACTGCTGCTAGAGAGAGTGCATTGCACATGTGTGATGTTTGAATGAGCCAGAGCACCTGCTGGGGGCAAACTTCCATCATCTGGCCTGAACACCAAG